TATATCCCGATTAAATGCTCCCATGGTAGAAATACACGGGCAAAGTCGTGCGTGAAAGCTAATTTATTATTATCCATTTAATCAACAGAATCAGTTTTTGATCTAAAAGCCGACCGAAAAACTAGTACGTCTACGTCATTATGATTATGGTAATTATTAGTATCAATATCGAGGAAAGTTAGGTCATGGAATCTTTTCCTGGAGTATAGGAGAAATGGAACAGCTGTTTGTCTCTGCACTTGAAAGACTATTAATAAGTTTACTGTCTAAGAATCTAGCTAGATCGTTTATGACCCAAACAGGGGGATTGACATGATCAATCACCATTTACAACATGTTTTACACAGTCAGTTAATCTCAAATATAAGTACCTAACTGATGTGTTAGTTCATAAGTTAAATTAATGTTACTGATTGTATAGTTTTTAACAATACATGCTAAACGACATATGGTTCTGGTTAACAAAGGACAGCAACCACAGATTTTTGTGACAAATTTTAATTGTACGACAAATTATTGATTCAATAGAGATCCGATATAGATAAAAATGTAGTCAAAAGTCTTGCTATAGGAGCTGAGGGTCCCCCCCCCCTCCGGTGCGGTGCAACCTTTTGAGGACTGCACTATAGATTTAACGTATTGACGGACGCCATGATTTCTTAAGAGATTTCAATTGTATAGAATATCATTTTAATAGTATTCCAGACATCTCACGTTTCCACACTTCCAAGGTCATGTCGTAGACGCTCGGTGGTGGCCGCCTTGTTCTTAATTAGGACTTTGTCTAGGTGATAAAGCGTAAAGAAGCGGGGTACTATGGCAAGCGAGACACGCCAAAAAACTCGCCCTCATTAAGGAACTACTAGTAGGCACGTTCTGTGTGCTTGATTGAAATAATCCAGGACCTAAGAAATCAAAAAGCTTGGAGAGAACTCCCCCGCTGGGTTTAAAACATTTCCATATGTGGAAAAAACGCGTCGCCAAACAGGGCTTGTCCGTAGTTTTGATATAAAGGCACGTAAATGTCACTACATGTACTCGGTATGACGCAAATAAGTTGATCAGTGGAACTTCGCATATGGAGACCATTTGGTTTGTGCATTCTGCTGACAGCTGGTGCTCTCTAAAGTTTCACAAACCTCAACAGATGATCTGCCTTGACATTGTACATTATATATCTGGTACATGAAATACGTGTATGTTAACGCATATGAACGTATAATGGGAAACGGAGGTTTAAATCCAGAAGTGGAGCCACTTGGGGCCCCCCCCCCTTTCGTAACGGATATATGCGATAGACTTGATGTCGTCCTATATCAAACCAGTCTATTTCAGGATTGGCTACTATGACGATCTTTCTCGTGCTCTGACCAGAGACCCAGGAGAAAGAGATTGCCCAGGTAAGCTCCCTTAGCAATATCTGACACATTGTGCAAGCTGCTGGGAATGAGAAGGTAGAAGTAGCATGTGTAGGACCGACAGAAGATGATAATTCTGGCTCCTCCCACACAAGATTGTTCACATGAGGTAAAATGAAGACCCATCTGCGATCGCCCTTTAAGATTTTATTCTTGTAGGTTCAGAAACGCTTGAAAGTAGAGTCTTTTTCTTGACTAGAGTCTTGAAACTGCAGAAGCAGCAAATATAACTAGGCTCTGGAGTTCTGTGCGTGACTTGCATTTCTTCCGCATTAAATGGCAAAATGACCCCAGAAATTTTACTACCGGGTAAATGTTTGTGATTTGACCATGGATCCCTGGCTTAATGACTTTTGTGTAAATAGCCAAACCAACTTTTCTAGAACATGGAGCCCAATTTTCATACGAAGTCCGAAGTTGGCCTTCGTCCTGATGGCAATAAAAAATCCCGACACCTCATTGTCCCAGTGTCTGGGAAAATCGTAGCAAAAGTATTGGGCGCTGCGCTCATGCCTAATGATAAGCAAGTCATTCGTAGCAATTCGTTGCGATAATTTAGGCACATAAACCTTCCGTGGCTACGGGCCACAGAAAAATAACTCTACGCCTGAGAAATGTCGATTTTGCATAGACAATCAGGTTGTAGAAAATGTGAAATACTATGTGTTTTAACACGTATGTGCATTAACGAATCGGTCAGATGATACATAAATTCTGAATTTCCAAATGGACGATGCGGTCGCCCTTGGACCAGAAATATCAATGGTAGGAAGCTTGGCTGCTCAGTAGCTCGGTCCGTAACTACCTGTTCTGTTATTTTGTTCATGACTGATGTCATTTCTGAACAGAGTGTCAGAGATTCTAGAACAGATGTTTGATGAACAGATGTTCCAGTTCAACAAGTTCGTTCCGACAACATTGGGGTGAACCAGGGTCAGTTTTTGTAAAAAGGGTATGCGATACCTTTTTATTATCATAATCTGACGTTCACAAGTTCCCATCGGTCTACCAATTGCAGGAGACTGTCCGCTCTGTTGTTAATACTTACGTCGTTTGTTGTCAATGCTGCAGCATCAATGACGGGGCGATGATACACGTCTTCGCTCCTGACTTGGCTAATTTTATTCTGCCGAGGATTTGACCAACTCCGACAGATATTCCAATTTTTCGGTGCGACCGAAATATATAAAAACAGCATGAATATGATATAACCACCTTGCGGAGGCGGGTTTATTGCTGTTGTCACCACCTTGCGGAGGCGGGTTTATTGCCGTTGTCACCACCTTGCGGAGGCGGGTTTATTGCCGTTGTCACCACCTTGCGGAGGTGGGTTTATTGCTGTTGTCACCACCTTGCGGCGACGGGTTTATTGCTGTTGTCACCACCTTGCGGCGACGGGTTTATTGCTGTTGTCACCACCTTGCAGAGGCGGGTTTATTGCTGTTGTCACCACCTTGCGAAGGTGAGATACTGCTAGCACATTGCGAATGTGTATTAATGTGTTGGAAACCTTGAGCAAAAATCCTGCGAGGACTTTGTAAGGCTGTGGCCCCTGCGACGGGCCTCGAAACTTTTGGATCTACCTGCGAGGTAGATGTAATATTTACCTTTTGCAATGGCCAAAAACATTTTCTCACGCCACCAGCTTATTCTACAGCGGCAGTAAACCTCTATGCGCTCTTAGTATTAGGAGAATCTCAGAACGATGTCCGCAAACAATCTGTAATAAAGCTTAAGACTAGGTACTTACTAAAATCCCCTGTGGAAAAAGGGTACTTTTGAAGTAGCATATCACATGTAGCAGTTAGCAGTTTGAAGGGTTCCGAAAATCCCGTGTTAAAGTGCACACAATATTCAATCAAGTATACCATTAACTTTAAACTCAAACTTAATATCAAAGCAACAAAATATATAATAGGAACGCACTTCGGTTCTATATTTGCATAGTCATCTCACTTTTGCAAGATAATTAGGTACAACAGACAAATAACTGTGCAATATTATTAACAGTCGAACAGAACCTTCGTTCTTTGTTCGTATAGTGGTACAAATCCACCCGATTTTCTGAGCAATAGCTATAGCATAGGGTATCGCGTCAGCAATTCCACGTATGCAATATACAGTCCAAGACTGTACCGAATTAACCAACAGTTCTGTTGGGAGCACAGCTCTTGAGTTTTATCCGAAGACACACTTTGATAGACATACAATTTCAAAACAATTTATCAGGTCATCAACATCAAAATAATATTCTTATAAATTTTCAATAACATTAGACAGAAATGCATGGTCCAAAATGGTACTCACGTACAAACAATCTATTGCTAAAGGTTACGTACCTGTTTAGATAGTTTTCGAAACTTACGTTTAGATCGACACTTCCATACGAAGAAGTGTTCAGGAACAACATGAATAATCGCAATTATTACCTGAATTTTCCATAATAGATAACGAAAGAATAATCTTTATTTAATTTAAAATTTTTACAATTGTAATAAAAGCCGTTAGGACATTTATCACTTTTATAAAAAAGAAATAATAATAAAATCGGAAGGTAGTTTCACAACTTGTGAATGGTTGTCTTGTGACTCACAAGGCACAACCGTTTACGGCGGGAAACAAGACGCCAATGCAATGAAATAAAATGGCGAGTCTCTCTTAGCAAGCCTCCCCACCACTGCCAAATGGAAGTGACGTAGTAGAAAGAGATAGACATACAGGAAAAGCGGAAGGAGGGAAGCGGAAGGCCTATCTCAATTAAATAAGCTTCGAATAACGGTCAAGTCAAATTAATAACAAGTTAATTGTTAATTACATAACACAAATTAGTATTGGACACCTATCAATAAAGAGGTTACATGTGTAGGTGACATGTGATGTTATTAAAATTTGAAATAACAGTAGTTGTTGTTTATTTAATAATTATTATCATTTATTAAATATTATGAAATTTATTTACCTACTGTTGTATTATTTATCAGTATGCTCTCTTTGCCCCACGCTGTGGAAGGTTAGCTTGAGTTATCAAGTAAAAATAACGTTATGCTGAGAAGATAAGGAGGATCAGCATTAAACTTAGGTATTCAATAGGTTTATTTACTTACTGTTAATCGAAAGGTTCCAAGCTCAACGTCAGAGGTCCTTTCCTAAATAATAAATGATGAAAAAAAACTACAGAAGGCTCTTATTGGTTGGTTCATTAGAGCCGGCCAATCAGAGCGCCATTTCTCGATAACCATAAACGATTTTTCGATTATTATAAACGTAACACAAACTCGTACTAAGGGCTCGGTACCAGTTTGTTTTACGTTTAAAGTGATCGAAACGAGTTCGCGTTGGGCTCTCTCATTGGTTGGTCCTTTGGAGCCATCTAATCTACGTAGACGTCACGGGGACGTCAGATCCGTTTTCCAGGTCAGACGAATTCGGGTCGGGTCGCGTGTTTTCCAAATACCACGTAGACTTATAACGAAAGGTTTAGAGATTCATGTGATACGTAGTGTTGTAATCTCTACCTGCCTCTTTGGGGAGTATAAAAGGCGTATTATAACAATATTTAAATATGCCTGTTTATTGTTTCAGCTGTCCTGGGAGATGACTTCTCATTAGGTGAAGACAAGAGGGTGCAGATGCGGGAAATACTCAGAGAGTACTGCAAGAAGAACAACGCTGAAGACAAATTCGAAGATGTCCAGGTTTGTCTAGCTAATTGCAATATTCTTTTTTTTTATAGACGAAAAATCACTAAATGACTCCTTTCAACCGTGAGTGAGGCGAAAGGTTTAGAGTCTTACAAATTTTGTTCTACTTCCTATCCTTTTATATACTTACCGATGTTGTGGTATGTGGCATAATATCATAATATCTGGCTAAAACCCCGTCAGAAATGGTAACACCTTATCATAAATGATATAAAGGGAAACCATTGTAATTGAGTACAAAGCAAAAAGTAACTTACCTATCGATAAAAGAGGTTTTAGTGCATAATAAGTAATGTGGAGTGGAAGTGGAGTGTAGGAACTGAAAGTTTAGTAACAGCATGGGCTGCTATTTTGAGCTTCTGCACACTAGCCGTAACGAACTCTGCTAATGCATTCATATATAAGTAGGAGAGAAAGTGCAGCGAATATTCCTAATAATAAATTTTGGTTTGTTTTACAGAACGCAGGTAAAGTTTTCATCGACTGCTTGAAGGGATTGGTCAACGTAGAAACACTCCAGAATGAAATTGAAGAGGCCAAGCCTAACGGCGCTCTCGATGAGGTCTTCAAGAAGTAAGTACAGATCTATCTTTAGCCAGTCCATCAAGGTATACTTTTTTACACAAGAAGTGATTGGAGATATAGGACCTATTTAAACTTTTACCTATTTCTACTTTATTGAAAATTTCTCTTAGAAAAAGCAACCGGAGGCAGTTATAAGGTCTTCCATCCCAACATAAAACTATAAACTAATTGACTTTTATTTTTGTTAAGGTACTGCGCTAAGACTCCTCAGCTGAAGACTTGCATCCAGAATCTGTTTGACGGCATGTCGCCCTGCTTGAGTAACGAGGCCCGCGAGAAACTGCCCGTCGCGATGAATGGCACCACCCAGCTGATTGACTTCGTCTGTTACAAGGATGGTGACAGGATTGCCCGTGAGTACCTAACCTTAATGCTATTCCAAAATACAATCCAGTCTTTTTTCAGCAAAAAGGATTTATTTTACAATATAAAAAGTAGTAATAGAATTAGTATAAGTAATAGACTGCACAACTGGTGCAGTATACCTACTGGCTGTTGCGCAACGTCTTGCGAGTTCGATTCCCAAATCAACACTTTGTGTGATCCACAAATTGTTTTTATGGTTCTAGTAATAAGTATTCTAGTGTGGATAATATTAAATATGCAAATAGGAAGGTACCTACTTTATACGTCGACTGTAAGTACACTAAGTAACTTGTGAGTTTAATGTTATTTCTGTCCTTTTGACAGTGTTCATCGCGGAAGGTGGACCTCAGTGCTTCCAGAGCAAGGCTAACGACATCAGAGAATGTGGAGCCAAAATCAAGGAAAGCTTCCCCTCAATCGAAGCCGCCAAAAGCTTAGGTCTTGCGGTACGTTTTCTTTTCTGTTTTATGATACATTTATTACACGAACGAATTGGTAAGCCGACAGGCTATTTTGCTCATTCCCCAGTTGTGTTAGTAAATCTATTTTAGTCTACCAAGTTTCATTTTAATTGTCACTTACGCGCTTGAGAAGTCAAGACGAAGTCGATTTTTCATTTTCCTTTCTTATCATATATGTCATCACATACTTAACAAACTCAGCTCCGACACAACGTTTCTTCCCTTGGAAACAATACCTCGCGCCACCGGTGCGATGGAGGCGCGCTTGCAGATTTTTTATATTGACGTTATGAAATATGTCATACAACATACGATTTAAAGTTTATATTTAACCTTTATATAAGACACAATAGAAAATACATTGTGTGGATCTACGTTCGCATACCACGAGTTAAAGGTTGGAGCCGCGCTGCAGCCGTGCTCCTTAGGTGTGCGAAGTAGACCTTTAAGAGTTCATCGTTTGTTTGGCCCCAATAGAAGATGATAATGATTAATTTATTTATTTGCATACCTACACAGGGTACGTGTGGTAAATGGGACGAGGTGACGTCTTGTATTGTGAACAAACTGGAAACCTGTGAGACCCCCACTCCCGGCAACATGGCGGAATCTCTCTTCAACTTCGTACGCAGAGCAACACCTTGTAACACTGTTGAGAAAGTAAGTAATCGCAGTTAACTAGTAATAAATAATAAAAATGATTTTTCCACCACATAAATCAAGTAGAACGGAACTAGTTTCAATAAGGTTTCATCCAAGTTTCAGTTTAAATTGTTGCTAATATACACCGTGAAGTCTATTTCGTTTCCGTCCCGCTGCTTTTAGCTGCTTTCGACGTAAAAGTAAAATAAAGATGCCAGTTATGTAAAAATAAATAGAAGTAAGTACGCACATGGAACACTATGACTAGACATAAATTTGTAGGCACTATTCGCATCCCACGTGCCCCGCGACGAAAAATACCTCTTCGAGAATTACATGGTGTAGCGTTTTGATAATGTATCTACCTACTATGAGTTCGTATGCGCTTTCGAAGTTTGCTTTTTGCAATGGTTCACCAGTTAGTTTTGTTTTAAACATTTTATTTCTTTGTAAAACTATTGTGTTACCAAGACAGAACAATATTACTTCGGGACGAAAACGAAATACCTACATTTCATGGTGTAGGTCAAATGCCCCAAAAAAAGATTCAATTGTAATTATTGCCAGAAAAAAAAATTTAAGGCTTTTATCCCCGAAGGGGTAGGTAGAGGTGAACACAGAAGTGACACCCATTTTAACTATTTATGTTATGAGTCCCATGAAATAGAGGGTGAGCCTATTCCCATATACCGGGCATATTTCCAGACTCCGTGCTTCTACTGAGATTTTTAGTTACTAAGTAAATTTTTTTAAATACTTATATGCTTAAAGTTTTTAGACACTTATCTATAGTACCTATATATAGTAATTTAAAATATAGGTAATAACAAATAAGGTTTATATAATTCGTGGCAAATACTAACATATTTTCTTTTTCTTTCTTTACAGAAGAACTGATTTAGCTGCCGAGTTGGGTGATCATACAAGTGCCAATAATATGTAATAAATGTTAGAAAACATTTTCATAATGTAACTTTAAATACATTAATAATGTAAGCCCAATAATTGTAGTTTAATTATTCATCTATAACCTAGTAGGTACTTACCTCTTCGGTTGCATTGTCATACAGGCTTATGCGATGCCATATAGGTTTTGGTACCTAATGTGTGAGAAGATACAAATATTCTTACTTATCTTCGTATATCTACATTTGACTGCACGTTTGGTGCGATGGCTGGGAAACTGACTGCCGCGGAACGTGTTGCGGGTTTGATTCCACACGGAACGACTCTTTGTATTATCCGCAGATTGTTGTTCCGGGTCTGGGTGTGATGTGTATGTGAATTTGTATATTTGTAAACGCACTCAAGACACAGAAGAAAAAAAACCCCATAAGTATCTAGCTACTATGTTAGTATCTACAGACCTATTTATTCAAGTGATAACTTGTCCGTTAATAATGGCAATATTTAGCTTATTTGGTAGCTAGAGGCCCACATCTAACTAAACTAACTAAAAAACATTTGATATTTAACACCATGTTGCATGGTAATGTGTAGTAAAATCAAGCAGACGTAGCAGCGGCGCGGTGTCAGGGCGGCATCGTGTATAGTGTACACAGCAATCAGCATGGATGTGCGAAAGTGACATATTAGTGGTGGCCTAGTGTAGGTACACGAGTCCTATGCAAATTTAACAAACTTGTTTTATAAAAGATAATGAGTTGGGAGGATCCTCCGATCAGGCTACATAATCATGACTTACATACTATACCGATAATAATTTTAACCGACGTGATATGATGCACGGCATGTTGTTTCCGTGCCACTGGAGTTGAATATCAAATATTATTTAGAGAGACGTGATGCACAAACTTCTTCCTCCAGAGACGATATTACCGATGAATGCTGCTAGCGAAATCATGATTAGACAGACGATGTGGTTTAACGAGAGACCTGTTTTCCAAGAGTCCCTGATTTCCAACATGTTTAGCAAAATTATATCATGTGGAGTGTGTGTGTATGTATCATTTTAGAATCCTTATTAAAGGCGTCAACTTGTTGAAATTTGCCACTACCAACGCAGTACCTATAAATTGTTTTCAATAGTCACTTGAAAAAACCAACTTTTGTCAAAAAAACATCAATTTCTTCGTCACTATACTGCAGTACTATTCAGGATAACACACGCAAAAATAGAGACGATAAAATAAAGAATTGTAGCAACAAGAGTCATCAAAATGGCACAGGGTCTACTTTATCATAGATATATGGATATCAAGCGTGTCTTTGCATTGTTCTCACATATTATTAGCATTAGCATTGGAATATGTATCAGAGACATTGTAGAACATACTTTTTGAAAAAAGAGTAACGAATGGAGTTTCTTGCTCGTTCTTCTCCATTCGAATCTACATTTTGGAATGAGCACCTAGCTTCACTGACGGACTGACTGACAGACTATTATTTATTTTGTATTAGTTGATGTTTCAAAAGTACCAAATTATGGTTTAATTGAAATAAATGCTTTGACTTTGATTTTGATAATACATAAGTCTTCACACTTTGAATTTTTTATATATTTTTCTGATAACTCTTGGAATTTTGCCGATAATCTGGCGCCATTTTATGGTCGACTTCAGGGACACCCTAAAGTCAGGTCACCCTAGGTCTATAACACCTAATGAGGTGTTACCATTGGTGTACCCATTGGTGTGCAGGCCAATGGGCCTGCTTGTAAACTTTATAAAGGATTTTTATATCGGAAATATGGCACTAACAACATCACGCCTTTTATTTCCGAAGGGGTAGGCAGAATTGCACATTACGGCTCTTAATGCCACTGTACAATGTAATATACACTATTCACTATTTATGCTGAGTCCTATGTAATAGGGGATGAGCCTATTGCAATAACACTATATCGAAAAAACTATTATAGGGACATTAAAATAAGGTTGTATAGAAATAAAGCAAATCATCTTATACTTTCCATCATTTATTTGCAAATATTGTAAAATGGTTATACACCACGTAGCAACATATACAATTATCTATTTATCTACCGGACATCGAATCTACGTACTCCTGACATAGACAATATGGCTTCTATAGAACAGTCGACAAAGCAATAGTTTGTATTTTTAAATATCTAATTATATTTTAATTAAAAAAGTTAAAGACTACTATGATCACAAAATAATATTAAACTTCACAACATTATGTATTCCTTCATTTCAATAATAAACGACATTTAAAATAATCTTAGAATTAACTCAATCGATTTTGATTTCTATTGCGTTAGTAACAAGACAACATTTACCAATAGCTGAAATAGTTGGTATACTGATTATTAAAATGTTACCTTAAACTAATGCCATAAGAATCAAAATTAATTAAATAAAACATGAGACGGGTCAATTTAAAATTATTACAAATGAAGTTACCTATAGAGTAAAAAATCCTGCCATCATATATGCAACATGAAATGTATAAATTAATGCAAAAACATAATATATCTCGATTCAACTCCTTGTATGTTCACAGCGTCCTCTTATTGCTATTTTTCAACAATCAGAATGATACAAACCAGTCTCAATTAAAAACTATAAATATATTAAACTGAATATATTGTTGGCATTACATATTGGCGTAACCTCATATTAAAAAAATAGCAAGTCTGAATAAAGTTAGGCGATATGATCACAAACCATGTACTTAAAAAGCTAAAAGTAATGGGGGCGTCTGTGTTTTGCTCAGTAGATGGCGCTAGCGTGCTCTCGTTCTTCATCCAATAGGGAATTAGCTAGTGTCACACTATTGGACGTTTAGTTATTGAGAGCTACAGGGATTGGCCAAAGAGTTCTTGCTAGATTAAGGCCATCTAGTGAGCAATAAACGGTAGCCCTCATTGAGGAATGGTATTTCTTTTATTATGACATCCTATATTGTACTATTACTAAGTCTACAACACCAACCCTAACACCGACGGTCACTTACGCCTAAAATCAATGGACAGAAGCATTAACCAATTACTAAGCGAGACTGTTTCATTTTACACACTATTTTCGACTCTATTCCTTACAGATTACAGTTTTTTAGCCAATGGACTTACGGCATTTCGTTTATAGATGCCTCGCATACATCTCTTCGGACGGCCATATTTAAAATGGACCAAACATTCTTCTACATTTATTAAACTTTGTGACAAATTGGTAAAAATATTATGAAAGCAGAACTTCTGTACTTATGACTTAAAGCTAAGCGTCACGATTTCGTTGGCCACGTTTTTTTGGCAAATATACTATGAAAATATAACGAACGATATGTACTTGGCGATCACATTACAATTGTAAAAACATCGACCTGTATATGATTAAAAAAGCAACATACCGGCCGAACGTATAACCTCCTCCTTTTTTGAAGTCGGTTAAAAATAAACTAAATGTAACTGCACTCGAGAATTACACAACTTTAAAAAAATATAAAAACAGAATGACCATAAAGAATATATCAAAAGCCGCTCATTTTTCTTAGCATATTAATTTGCAGGCCAAATAAAACGCCAATAATAACAAAATACATATAATAAATATAAAAATAAGCTACAACAATATACAGGTAAAAGCTGATATTCAGCTGATTGTCTTATAATGAAAATACCTGTTTAATTACAACTCGAGCCCTTTTTATCCCTAGTCACTCTCATTAGAGACGAAGTATAAGCATTAATGAATAACATACCAATAATTATAAAATATTTGTACAGTAGCTAGCATATCAACCTACTCAAATGCCAATTTTTGTCATTGGATTTTCAACTTCATGTCATGTCAACGATAGAGTTAAAAATCTAGTAAACAAATTTGACAGCAAAGGATAGATTGACCTGCTGGTTAGTACATAAAATGTCGAACCTGCGACATTGTTCATAGCTGACCGAGGTGTAGCTGCTTGAAAAATAATAAAAAAGTGAATCATTAAAGCGATTAACTATAAAATGTGTTCATAATCGAGAACAAAGAAGTTCTGTGGTTCATAAGGTGATGTGACGTCATCGTCACTATACATGAGACATCCGTTCTTTGAATTAAAATAACTGCCATTGTTGCTACTATGCTAAAAATGTTGGTTGAAATATCCGGACAACTGTTACTAGCTACGCGTACGCACGAAACTCATGATTATGAGTCCCGGTGTAACTTGAAACTGGTCGAGCTTCGAGAACAGTTTGACGAAGGTTTTAATGAAAACCTTTACGATTATATTAAAGTTGTTTTACGTTATATGTCGATCGCTTTCTACTTACTACTTCGTCTCTCAAATCCTAGACGCGTAATGTTGTTTCACAACAATCGTATACACCTTACATTTATTACTTTGTTCAATCCACGGCTACCCCCAAAAATAAAATACATATAAAATTAAAAAAATAATATGCGACCTTGTCATAAAAATGTATATAAAAAGGCATCTAAAATATTTTTCCTTGTAATGGTAATTTGGACTTTTAAAAATTTTTGCATTTTTCGTTTTACGCAGATGGCAGCACTAGCGATTTTGATCGGTTGTGACCTATTGATTTGTACCTTTGGTTTAGGTATAATAGGTTTTTATAGCGTTTTTATAATTAAAGTTAAATATAGGAGCGTTTAATTATAAATAAATAGGTGTAGCTTAGATGAGTAATGACACAATTAGAGCCGTTAACAGTGTTGTGACTGTTACAGTTAGGCCTGATGCAGCATCCGGCACGTTCTTCTTCTCTTCCTGAAATAAATAGTATAAAATACATTAGTGTTACTGCTTTGAAATAAAATAGACAACACATGTAAAAAGCTGACATGACATCATATCACAATGACTTTACGATTAAACCAAAAACGTTTTTCCTTCGAAAGGAAAAAAAATCATATTTGTTTTAATAAAATATATCAGTGCATGGTGCAAATAATAATAATAACCCATATATATAAACCTTTTATTTGTTTGCCGTATAATCAAGTGTATAGAAAAATATAATTTTGAAATAGCGATAGCGACTTTATTTCCTCATCATGAAGTTGCTTATTAACACTCGGTTAGGAATACAACATTTTTCAATAACCAATGTCTGGATTTTGTAAAGTTCACCTTTATTATGGTCAAACTGATTTTGATGATAATGCCTTATGCACTTAGCATAAGGCATTATCATCAAAATCAGTTTGACCAATTAGATTTGGCCATCCTCTCTAATCTAACCATCAAATAGTAATTTAATTAGAGATTAAGCAAACAAAACTTTATCTCGTTGACGCAAAGCCCATTTTTGCCTTGCAAAAAGTCACGGATTTCGATGCAAACGCAGTATGAACTTTATCATTTAGCATAAAGGTTTCATTTTCCTCTAGATTGGATATCAAAAAACGGTTGTTATAGACAGTCACAATTAATATAATGATGGTGCTGATTTTAACTTACGGTGGTTCGACCTCTGGCCGGGGCCTTTTCAGGTGCCTATTAAAACATGCAGTATATTAGTGGTTAATAGGTTAGACAGTTACTGTGTGCGTGGAAGTGCAAATAGAACTTTAGTATTCATTCATAACTACATGGATTAGTAATTATACAATATTATATTAAAATAATAATACAGTTGACTTTAGTTAATTCGAAATTCTAGAAGACTGTTAAAATATTTCTAATTGGTGAATGTTCGAAATATCGAATGGACCGAAATTTGAACTTGCTTCAAAATGTAGGTACATATTTACTTCGCAAGTTTTTAGATGTTTCCGTCTCTTTTTCTCTGTAACTACAAAATTATCGAGAGCGAGAGCATCTTAGTGCTGACAGGTTTAAATTAACGAATCATTTGGTAAAGTAGCAATGACTTTCTTCGTTCCAATTACCAAGTGCATAATAATGTATTGATTTAGTTCGAAATATATAGCTAGAGAATTGTATTGTAAACCTGAGGCCTTAGTACGAGTTTGTTTTACGTTTATAGTAATCGTAACGAGTACGCGTTCGACGCTGTGATTGGTTGGTGCATTGGAGCCGGCCAATCAGAGTGCCGAACGCGAACTCGTTTCGAATACTTTAAACGTAAATCAAACTCGTACTAAGGCCTCAGATTGAAAAATAATAAAACTATGGAGTTTCTTGCTCGTTCTTCTCCATAGAAATCTAAACCTTGGGATGAGCAAATAGCATAACTTTTCTTTTTTTTTGTTCACGTTCAAAAGCGTGTTCCTGGTCTAATTGCAATAAATAATTTTGACTTCGACTTTATCAAGTGATTTTCTAGGGACCTCGTGTAACTTCGAATTATAGAGAGATTCGAATTGCCAAAATTTTGAATTAACGAGAGTCGACTGTATGTACATTGAAGTGGTATTTAGTCACAGGCAAAAACATTTAGTAGCTAAGAATATAAAATGTTATCTAGGTTAAGGTATTCAAGAACTAATTTGTTTAATTATAGGATACAGGACAAACGAGTAGCCGGATCAACACATGGTTAGTGATCAACACCGTGTTGACTAGACACCTGCTACACAATAGGAGTTACAAATGCGTTGCTAGCCTTCGCATTAAAGTTTTTTTACAGTCTTTTTATTAGCAACAGCAGCGCGACAGTCGCCGCGTCGCGTATCGCGGAATGCTGCTCATAAATATGAGCCTCTAGCATGGCTTGAAACTAGTCGAGTTCCTCGTCAGACGGTCACGTGAGTAAGCCGAAAATAGAATAATTAATATAGTCAGTGCCTTCAAAGAGCGAGTGAATAGATTGCTTATGGGTGCCGTGCTCCGTCGTAGACCGCATCATCACTTATCACCATCACCAGGCGAGATAGTGCTAAAAAGTCGGCCCATAAAATATAAAAAAATGTATTTTTATAACTTTTTTAAATGTAATTTTATGTGAGATTATAATTCAGAATAAAACAAACGATTTTGCGTGTGACTATAGAAACCTATTGTGTATTGTTATTAGATTTATAATGATTAAAATTTAAAATTAGTAAATATAATTAGTAAATATAATTAGAATAGAGATAATACAGATATTAAGATATAATTAGTATATATTATTTAAATTATAAATGAGTTTACCTTTACGAACTGTTTACAAGGGGTTGCATTTCTGATGAAGTTGAAGAGAGAGTCCAAGATATTGGCTGAAGTGGGTTTGGGGCACTTCTCCAAAGTGGTGACTACACATTCCTGTAGACTAGTCATCTGGTCACACTGCTTCTCCTGTAATTTACGAATATTAATTAAATTAATGTGAGAATTATTAGGTCTTAATGTTATTGAAGATGGAAATTCGTTAGAATTCGTAATTATAACATTTTAAAAAGATAAATTAACTTATTAATATGAAAAGGAATGGTCTTTTACACTTCAAATAATTAAAATATGCCTCGCTTCTTTAGAGGAGTTATTTAACCGCTTGGATGCCCGTATATGAGTCACAATAGATAATACATTGTGTCTCGCGTGGATCCAAGTTTAGACACACGACGAGTTAATAGTTTCAAAGTAGATAAGAGCTACATCCCATGGGTCCTCATTTATAAGTCATACATCTACAATGTAAATATTGTTGACACATAAAGAGTAATATGTACAATACACTCGTGATCACATATTTATGAAATAAGTGTTAAATGTAACCTCGCAGTGAGGTTTAATGCTGAGATTGCTGAGAAATTTATTTAAAGAAAACAAATGTTTATCATCTATTGGTTTATATATATGCAAGTACCAAATCTTCGAGTAATTTATCAGAGGTAACCTGGTAAATACGTCATGGAAATAAGGATAAAATAAAACTGATATTTTTAAGAGATGTACACATTTCTATAAATAAAAAATGTAATCTAGCTGACATTTAATTTTTAAGGTAATTTTAAGGTGTAAATGTTTTTTAATTTGTTTAAATTTAGTGTAATCACCAGTGATCGGAAAAAGGTGAGCTAATTTACCTAAACTTCAAGGAACAAGGAAAATTATTCAACACCAAAATTAACAAAAACCTAAAATCGTGACAAAAGTTGCGCTTTCTTTCTAGCTTTTGTTATGAATAACATAATTTTGGTGTTGAATAATTTTATTTTATGCTCTTACATCTTAAAATATTTATTGTTGAAAACAAAAGTTTTAATTTTGTTTGGTTTTGTGTTAAATTTAAGAAATAAAATTACGAAACGAAATCAATTGTTTTCTGTATTAATAACAATTATATTAAATGTAATATATAAATATCCCGAAACTGGAACCGGAACTTTCCCGAAAACAAAGTAGTAAGGAAGTCTCCACTTTTTGTTTTTGTTCCTTGAAGTTTAGGTAAATTAGCTCACCTTTTTCCGATCACTGGTAATCACATAGGTATATTAATAGTGTAAATATTTCAATTATGCAGTTTATATATGCTAGCACCGGGAGGAAGTTTATGTGATATAAAAAAATCACACGTTCACAGGAAGAAGACCGTTAGTATAAAATAATTCCAGATGTCATACTATTAATAAGAATTTTCGAGAATCGAAACCCACTAACGCATTGCTACGACTGAGACGTAAATATACTCGCCATGTAGTAGTCAAGTAGAAGTAAAAAGTAATTTTGTGTGTGGCCAGCAAACAAACCGACTTTGTTTTCGAATTTTTTTATTCGATTTTAAACTTTACTGTTTTGATATATAGTCAAAAATCCAATAAAAAATTACAGTTTGGAGTAGGTTGACGGAGTCTGTACATAAGAGTTTAAATAGGTACCTAAATTAATGATTACCTTAAATTCAAGCTCCATGATGCCACTGACGGAGATGTTCTGTAAATTCGCCTCCGTCTTGTTGTCAAACACTGTGCTGAAGCACTCCTGTATGCCGTCCTGCTGGTCTTGGAAACATTCCTTACCACCTTCTGCTATGAACACTGAAATATAAGAATTCAACTTTTAGATGGTGACTCTCGAGTTAATCACGCCTTTTAATCTATGATATCCTATCAGACAGCGGTATTTATTTTTGAAATCGAATCCAATAACTTCTGACCAGGATCAAACACGAGGTGCCTTACTCAGAAATCGCACTTCCGACCACTAGACCAACGAAGCACGTGAGTTATTAACATGTTAACCGCCATAGGTTACCAGTGACCTACGTTAACGGAGGATTTGCCTTCAGCAGTTTTCTATCGGCAGTCAAAGGCCTTAATAAGCAAATAAGGTTATGGTTCACGTTATGAAAAGCAGTAAACAGTATTGACATGTACACCTCAACTACTAAAAGACAAATGAGTACAAACTGTGCGATTCTTTGTGAAAAAACGGTGATTGCATTTTTTAACAATCCGGGAATTTCTTGAATTTTTATTTTGAAATTTAACCCTTTCTGCGTGGGTCGCGGTATTTTTGTAGCTATCTTACGTGTTTACATCCCACGCGACGACATAAAGAAAAATAATAGGGGTTTTTATTTAGTCATCAGGTGTATTTTGAGTTTTAATAGACAAACCTAAAGTTTTCCTAAACCACTAAAGTTTTTCAAATCGTCGTAATAAAGCCAATGAGACCTATGATTTTTCACCTGTTTTCATAACATTTGTAGAGTTAATGTACCAACTTTTTTGTAGTTCGTGGTATAAACTAAAGTACGAAAGAGACGAAATAATTCCCGCCCGCTTTACTAGATGGCGGTGTAACCTAAGCCCCATATAAAGGTAAAGTAGACTGAATTAATTCTCTTGCTTGAAGATACTTACGTGCAATTCTGTCACCCTCTTTAAAGCATACGAAGTCTGCTAATTGTTCCGTAACGTTGTACATAACGTTGAAGTTTTTCTGCTCAGCAGCTGAGAAGCAAGGCTTCACCATCTCGGTCATGTTTCGGAAACATTTCTTGAACTGAGGCGTCTTCGAGCAATATCTGAAAAATAGATATTAAATAGTACTATTTTGTGGGGCAACTAGAAGCTATTGCAGAAAAGGAAAATCGCTTTCGGTTTCTATGGTCGGGTAAAGTACTATTGGGTTTTTGATTTTCTTAGTTACATTGTCCATGGGCTACCTACAGTAATGGCTTTCAATCATATTACGGTTTCGAGAAAAAGGCATAATGAATAATGTCATTAATCATTATCAATTGATATCAATAAACCAATCACCAGGAAGGAGGAAGGTATCACAATGAAAGTAATAAATCTTACATTAAATAAATATTCAAGGATCGTTAGATTAATAGACCCATTACTCTGTAATTTAACAATAATGGACTGATTTAATACACATTTTCCTATCATATTCAACTACATCCAGTTCTTCAATACTACGTCATCTTATTTCATAACATTACGTACGACCTACTAACCACTAGAGATCAGAAATGGTAGAAAATAGCTTAGATAACATTTGTTTACGAACAAATCTCTCATGCAACCCGGAAAAACGTTTTAGACCAAACAAATATTGCGTTATCTTCCGTATTCACGTGAAAGTTAAGTAACATGGCTTAAACTAATCAAACAAACGTGAACTTAATTCTATCTCTTTTGAAATTAATTTTGCTTGTACTATGCGATTAATAAAAAATTCATTACACTTACTTTTTGAAAACTTCGTCGACTTCACCAGTGGGCTTAGCATTTTCAATTTCCTGCTGTAGAACCTCCATGTCTACCAAAGAGTTGAAGCAAGCCATGAGGTCGGTAGCGGCTGACTAGAGAAAAAAAAAGGATAAATAAGTTTTGAAATACTATTGAGAGTCGGGTATCATACATATCAGCAGGATTATAAGGTCAGAAACTGCTGAGTTTGCCATAATCTCCACACTGCTTTTTTAAAGGGGGAAAAGCGTCCAAAGTCTTCTGCTTGCCTTGACGGAGGCGAGAGGAAGTGTCAGAGTCTTATTGACTAAAAACCTCCCCGTTCCTACTCATACTTTTCGAGCCGGAGCTCCGGCAACCCGTTATATCCCCTACGGTTACGCTAGAAACAGCTAGAAGGTAAGTTAAGTTACTGTGTACTTAGAACTGTTATTTATAGTAAAATATCTTTGTTGCTGCCTC